ATTTGGAGAGGGATTTGGAAAGGGAAATGGAAAAGGTAGGTGAAATGTGAATAAATCATGCCTATATTTCATATAGTTTCACACACTTTTTCCATTTCCCTTTCCAAATCCCTCCCCAAATCTCTCAACCAAACACACCATAAGAGTTTGACGCATTCACCCTTTCTAGGTGTCCTTCCTTGGCACACATACATGTTAACCTTTATCTTTTGTCACTTTCTTCTTGTTCTCCTTCTCCTCATAATCTACATTTTCCTTCACTCTTATTCGGATAACATTTTCATTTCTTCCCTAAGTTGCCTTCTTCTCATATTGTGTATACAAACATAGCATTCGGATTACCTTTAAATTCATCATTGTAATGAAAACTATGGATAATCAACCCGGAGGGGTGTGTCCTAAGCTGATTGGTGATAGTATTCCCTAACAGATTGTTGTTTGATCTTAAAGACAAACCGTAAGAAAATAATTTTTCGTGAATTCTCTAATCTCAGCCTGAATGGCCTGCCTTTGACTGGACCAATGAGAGAATTAGTCGAGGTGTACATAAATTGATCCGAACACCCTTAACCGTTGAACCTTCCCCTCCCAAAAAAAAAAAAAAATTGAATAATTGCATTTAAAGTTTTGAATACTGTGAATAAATGCATAGGCTTTCTTGGCTTGAGGATGGGAAAGACAACCAATTTTACAAGTTTTACCGCTAATTGTGCTTTAGACTTGTGAAATCATAAATATTTCCAAAGTGTTGCATTCTTTCTTTCTTTCTTTTTTTTTTCGTTTTTCTTTGGGGAGAGGAGGGGATAAGAGAAGGAAACCTCATATCTTGAACCCCAACATTGAGATTGGGGATGATTATTTAATAATATCAGAGTATTAGTAATTTTCAACTCTTGAAAGTGAGGCTGTGCAATCCAATCCAAATCCAGATCCAAACCTCAAGCATTCATCCTGTAAAGTTATAAAGCTTATCCTCAATACACAACCCTATGATGTTTAATTATTTGAAGTAAGCTTTATCATTCACAACATGCATATGCAGGCTTAGCCATCTGAAAGGTATATTTTGGTTTTAGTATATCAGAGGGGGTATCTTTATTCTCCACATAAATGAGAAAGTAATAAGAGATAAAATAATGCCTCTTTATATACCCATATCCCTTCTCTTTTCAAAGACCATGATGGGGATTACTAGACATTACCACTATTTTTATCTCTAAAGCCAACCACCAAATTTCATTCTTCCTCTACAATCCTTCTCCTTTAGTTATATATTTATCTTTAGAAAAAAAAAAAAATGATGTTATGACAAAAGCAAAGATGAGAAATTGTAAAAGTAGACAAGGATTTAAGCGCTTTAACCATAAGATTATGTCTAATGGGTAAAGAATGACGAAAAAGTGATAGAGATTACAATGAGCTCGTAATCAACTGTAGAAGCGTGAAATTATCCAATATATGTACAAAGAATTCAAAAGTAATAAATCGGATTAAAATAGACTCAAATACAAAGAATTTTTTAGCATTTACCCAACCGGCAATGAGTATCATCCGAATTGAATTTGAAACACACCCTAACAGATGATATTTAGGCCTCGTTTGGGAACATGTTAATTTAGTAACTTTTTAGTTAATTGGCTAAAATATGAGCTAAAAAAAACTAGTATGTTTGGGATAACTTTTTGACTTTTTACAAAAAGATGTGCAAAAAATAGAGAGAAAAAAGAATCTTTGACTTTTTGGTATGAGTTGTTGACTTTTTGATTTTTTGATTTTTTTAGTGACTTTTTAAGTAAACGGGCCGCTTCCCAAACGAGGTCGAGTCTGATGAAGACCTTTATTATATTAGGCAGTAGTGTTCGACCCAATTTTCAAACAAATCTCTTATATTTAAATTTTTTAATGTTGTGTTTGGTTGTGAGATTTGAGAAGAGATTTAAAAAGAAAAATGAAAAGATTGATGAAATGTGAATAAAATATACCTATATTTCACCTAATTTCATATATCTTTTCCTTTACCCTTTCTAAATTCCTTATAAATTTCCCAACCAAACACAGCTAAAACATATTGTATTGATTAGCACGTTTTCAATTAAAATTTTTTAATGAAAAACTACAACATGTGGAATGCAAAAGTCAACAATTCTTATAACCAAATCAAACCAAACCAAATCAGACAAAGTCTTAAGTCTCATCAAATGAGATCGGCTACATGAATCTTTTTTCTTCACTTGATTCTATCAAAAGCCATTTAGTTAGTCAAATTAAGAAGATTCATATATCTGTTTACTACACTAGCTCACGTCAATCTAGGTATGTCCCTTCTCCTAACACTTCTCTCTACCATCATTGTATCACATCTCTTCATTACTACATCTGTTGGTCTCCATTGTATATGACAAAACCATCTCAATCTATTTCTCTAAGTTTATCTTCTATTACCATTACTCCTACCTATTCACGAATATATTTATTTCTAACTCTGTCTTTTCTAGTCTTGCCACACGGTCACCTTAACATCATTTCAGCAATACTCATCTTATCTACATATTTTTTAGTTGTCCAACATTTCATCTCATACAACGACACTGGTCTCATAGTCGTTTTATAGAACTTTTCTTTTAATCTAGTGAGTACTCATTTATCGCAGAGTACCCCAGATACACTTCTTCACTAAAGTCATCCCACCTTAATTCTATGGACCACATCTACTCCAATCTCCCAAGCCGTTTGATAATTGATCCTAAATAACGAAAAAATTCACTCTTAAGTAGTTCTTGGTTATTAATCTTCATTTTTTCTCTGTTTTTATCGTTACTATTACTAAAATTACACTTCATATATTCTGTCTTAGCTCTGCTTCCTACTAATATTAAGAAAAATACTATGCATAGTTTATCTTTTGCCTTATTTTTTTACTCTCAACACATTAGTATAGACTCACTATCTCGTGTCAGGGAAACAAGAAGAAATGGGCAAGAAATGAGATAATGTATAGAACTAAATCATATGTAAAAGTTTGATGAGTATTAAATGTAGAGACTATAGTGATTGCAAAATGGATCCAATCCAATATCTGGACTCATTTTGACCTGTAAAGTTTTTTGGGAATGTGAACTGATTGAGCTATCATCAAAATACCTGCAAGATAGAGAGAAGGAAAGCCTTTAGACATGCTAAAACTTAGAAACACATTAACAAATTTCTTCTTTGTATAAAAGATATAGCATACTTTAAACAAGTAAATACTGATGGAAAAACAAACCCCCAAGTGCAAGCAATGCATATATTCTAAAAGTGAAAGTGAAAAATAAATAAATAAGTATTGGAGATAAAATAAAGGCAGGGGAATTGAGACACAGCCGCCAAGGAGGATGTTCCCTTCCCTACATAAACTGCTCATTTGTACTTCAAAGTTAATTGCAGAATCTCTTTTCTTTTTCTTTTCTTTTTAAAATTTTTTAAATCAAATACAGATTGGTTTGAGATAGACTAGGTTGTTTTAGGATAGAATCTCCAATGCAAGCAGTTTTAAATTTATAGTTTTATAAACTCATCAGATTATTTCATGACTTTTAAGGTTAAAGTCGCGTTCACCACTCCAACCCCAAAACATAACTTCATAGAACAACTTCAACTTGAGTTTGAAAAATAAATTTGTTTTGATAAGAAAGTTGATCAATAAAACTAGTTACCTAGAAAATGGGTTAAGAATTTTTTCTGGAATTTGATTGTGAGATTGAGATCAAATTAGTGTTTTGTAGAATCCATTCTGTAAAATGAATTTGAAATATATATTAATATTTTTTAAATAAAATTCAAAGTAAAAATTCAAAATATGTAATATTATTGTTTCATAAATGAAATGAATATAAATATCAATGGCTTTAAAAGCCAAAAGATCTACATCTATAAGTCTTTATTTTTAATTTAAAAAAGGATAATGGAAGTTTAAAATTTATAACAGCAAAAACGGTTAATTTTAAATTTTGATAAGAATTTTTAGTTTAAGGTCCTTGACATTATAATTTTATAAAATAAAGAACATGCAACATTTTTATAGTAGTTGGAGACTCTCAACATTTTTATAGATAGAGAAATTTTCAACTCTTTACAGAGAAATTTATTTTTTCACAAAAAAATTTCACAGAGTAATTTCAGCTTCACAGAGAAATTTTAGCTTGTCTATGACGAATTGAAATTTCTCTAATAATATTATTGAGGGAACTTAACTAATAAGAAAAAATATGTTGGACGTTTCTTACAACCTAAAGTTAAAGAGTGATGATTCACTAATTTTCCATTTTGATAATTTGTTCTAACTTAAAAATAAAAAATAAAAAATAAATAAAATAAAATAAAATGTATGTCAATTTCATTTTTTATCCGTTGTGGTTAACTGCATATGCGGCTTACCTTGTCATTTAAAAATAGAGCAACCTCCGTCTCTCTAATTTTCCCACCCTCTGATGATATGGTAAATAATTTGGAAAAGAGAGAAGAGTTCGAGAAAAATTGATTGGTTGATATTGTTTGCCACATTATTAAAGTGTATGGGTGAAGGAAAATTTGGGAAATGGAAGTATAGACATTCCATCTACATTATACATTGAATAAAATACAAAAGTTAAAAGTGAATTTTTTCTTTCAAAAAATTATAAAAATATTCATGATTTGCACAATGAAACTGCTTATATAAAAAGATATTTTAATTTTATCACTTATGTCGATAACGGATTTGACGTTGTAATTTAATCTACAAATCATATAATCTCATGAGATTGGTTAAACGATAAAGATTTGACAATAAAATCAAGGTTTTAAAGTTATTCTAATAGGTTATATTGAAAGTTTGTTCCATCGTTAGTTTTAAGATTTTTGGAATTAGTTAAGATGTATAAACAGACTCGATCAGCCGGTAATAAAAAATCATACAAGTTATATATTTGTTTCCAAATGAAAGATAAAATATTTATACACAACCAAAACCATAAAGGTGAAGTATAATTTTTCCGAAATAAACACCTCCATTTCATCTAAACAGGATAAAAATCCCTCTATAAAACACATCATCTCCTACACTTAACACTCCAACAATGCCAACTTCCTCATATCTCTTCTGCTCTCTTTTCCTATTGTACTCCCTCTCTGTCACAAGTAAGCATTCTTCTTCTTCTACCTTCTTTCACTTATGTTTTTTCGCATACCCATGAAGCAACTCATTCATTTTTTTCTTTCTGTATTGTTTGTTTTTTTGCAGATGGAGCTCAACTCATACTAGTAAACAACTGCAACGAAACCATATGGCCCGGAATCCTCGGCGGCGGTGGCCAACCCACCCCGAACGACGGCGGCTTCAACCTAACCTCCGGTGAAGAATCCGTCTTCAATGTGCCGGAAAAGTGGTCCGGCCGAATCTGGGCCCGGCAAGGCTGCCACTTCGACGACACTGGAAAAGGGTCATGCGACTCCGGCGACTGCTCCGGCCAGCTCCACTGCCGCGGCATGGGTGGCACGCCGCCAGCCACGGTGGTGGAAATGACATTGGGAACATCATCTTCACCACTTCACTTCTATGATGTGAGTTTGGTTGATGGGTTTAACTTGCCGGTGTCAATGGCTCCGGTGGGCGGCGGCGTCGGGTGCGGCGTAGCGTCGTGCGGTGTCGATTTGAACATTTGTTGTCCGGCAGCGTTGGAGGTGAGGAGGGAAGGGAAGGTGGTGGGGTGTAAGAGTGCTTGTTTGGCTATGCAATCTGCTAAGTATTGTTGCACTGGGGATTATGCAAACCCTAACACTTGCAAGCCCACTATTTTTGCTCATCTCTTTAAGGCTATTTGTCCTAAAGCTTATAGTTATGCTTTTGATGATTCTTCTAGCCTTAATAAGTGTAGGGCTTCGCGTTATGTCATTACTTTCTGTCCACCCTATTGAGAGGTGTATAGAATTAAAATCACAGAAAAATATTAAAAATGAAAAATGAGAGTACCACATTCATAGCATCATTAGGAAGTAGACGGTGTTAGAAGAAGAAGAAGAAGAAGAAGTTCTTGTGTTTTGTTTTACAGTAATTAGCTTTTGAATTCCTGGTTGGTGGGAAGTGATCTAATAGATCAGTATGCAATAGTCTTATTTTGTAATTTAATGGTCTAAGTTTAAATTTGAAACAAAATTTTATCATTTTAATTTGTATGGTACACGTATTTTAATGAAAAATTTACTCATAAATCTCGTATGAAAAATGTTGATCCATTTAATTTAAGAGTTTTCTTATGAATCGATTAGCCTTTTTTATTCTCAAAAGTTATATTTATTTGATTTGGTATCATTTGAGTTTAAGTGAATGTCTTTTTAACATTCATTTTTTTAATTTTCTGATTCATTTTTTGGATGGGAATGGAAAGGTAAGACGTGGAAGATTCTTTTTGGAGAAATTGGTGACTGCAGTGTTGCTTGTCGAGCATCGAAATCTACATTTTTGTTAGTGTGATTTTTTGGTGTTATATTGGAGTGTTATATTAGTGTGATATGTTTGAAAAAAATACACTAAGAAATTTTGTGTGTTATGTTGATTGAAGTGTCACGTTTGAAAAAAAACATACTGATGAGTTTTTTTGAAATGTTACGTTGTTACATTGAAAAAAAACACATTATGAAGTATTTTTTGTCAAGCATCGAAATCTACATTTTTGTTAGTGTGATTTTCTAGTGTTACATTAGAGTAATATGTTTGGAAAAAGTACACTAAGGGCATGTTTGATTGGAAGGATTAAAGCATGGGATTAGGATTATTAATCCGTGGGCCCGATCATCCTATGTTTGTTTTGACATTTTGATTTAGGACTATTAATCCAATGGATAATTAATCCAACAAATTTGTAGGATTATTAGTAATGGGGTAGGGGTGGGATAGTTAATACCACACTAATTTAATAGGATTATTAATACCTCACTATTAGTATTGTGAATCAAACATGACCTAAGAAATTTTGTGTGTTACATTGATTAAAGTGTCACGTTTGAAAAAAAATATACTGATGAGTTTTTTTGGGATGTTGCATTGTTACGTTTGAAAAAAATACATTATGATGTTTTTTTAGTGTGTTATATTGAAATGTTACATTTGAAAAAAGAACACTAAGGAGTTTTTTTTTTATTTTATAATATTACATTGTTACATTAGACAAAAGTATACTAAGAAATTTCTTTAGTGTGTTACATTAATTAGAGTGTTACATTTCAAAAAAAAAATACACAAAGGAATTCTTTAGCATGTTACATTGGAGTATTACGCCTGGAAAAAATACACTAGAATTTTTTTGTGTGTTACATTAATTGAAATGTTACGTTTGGAAAAAATATACTAAAGAATTTTTTAATGTGTTACATTAGAGTATTATGTTTTTTTGAGTGTTAAAAAGTACAATTGAATTTTTTTTTTGAAATGTTACGTTTAATAATTTAAACATTATGAGAAACCTATATTTTGGATGAGAATGAGACCTTTAGGTCTATAAGAAAATAAAATAACAAACAATTCATAAAATTACTATTTGAGATTTAATTGATATTTCACTCTATTTTAATTTTATTTTACTTGATTTTTAATTGAAATTGTTGAATTATATATTCTATTATTGTGTCTTCCTGTTCAAAAAAGACAAAGGACTTGTAAATCATTGTGAGATCTCATTGTCTCGTTTTTGTTGGTGATAAAATACACTTATCTTGATTCTTAAAGTTTACACATGAATTTAAAAGAATCCGAAAAGATATATAAAACTTTGGAAAGACCTATAGAAATTCGAAAGATTTTAGAATATTGTTCTAATACATCGGAGAAGTTGAGAAATTTAGAGAAATCTAAAAAATTTCGGAAGATTCTAGAATATTTTAAAGAAATATAAAAAACTCTGTTATGTACTAGGCTAAATAATTATAGAATATAATAGAAGTATGAGTATATACGTTAGAATATTTTAAAAGCAAATTTATCACCACTCATATTCTGTATGAAGTTAGTTTCTAAAAACTTTTTCACTAATATAAACACAAGATGAGTTCATGTATTAAGTATTGAGTGATCAAGCACTAGAAGAGTGATCTAGTGAGAAGTGTTCTAAAATCTTGTATAAGGAAGAGGCAAAATCTAAATGTGAATACTTGAATGTATTATGTAAGTGAATAAGTGAGACATTAATATGTCAAACTTAACATAGGCTAAAATGACCATTTCATTCTACTTATATTCTAATAAACCAAACACTACCTTACTTCGATATGCTAAATGTAGAATTCCCTGCACAAATTGTTAATTAATCAAACACGATTGAAGAATTTACCATGTGAACCATATATAAAAAGTTAAATATGGTCAAATGGTACCATAGTATGGAAAATTCACTATTCAAAACTTCAAACAAGACTCCAGAATCATTACATTCAACACCTTTGGACTAAATATATATCAGATTTCATTGTTGAAATTAAACTATACTGGTCTAGCAGCAAGCCAAGCAGCTTCACCCATGATAACAAGTAAATTTCAAAGAACAATTCACTGACTAAACCTAGGTTATACAAACTTAAATCCCCACATGTATATAAAACATATAAAAATCAAAAGCGAGGATGAGGGAGGTTGCCAAAAAGAGACTATATTACTGCCTCATCTTCTTGTGATCGTTCTAACTAGCAATAATGGGGTTTATATCTTTTCACTGGTGCCATTTGAATCAGATGATGGCTTTGCAGCCCGTGCTCTAAGAGTAGATTCAAAATGCTTGCTGGCAACATCTGGCGGAGGTGCATCTTCCTCAGGAAGAACAAGAAGTCCCTTCTCTCTAAGAGAAGATGGTTCCTTATAATAGGTGTTCCAAAGGGAGTCCACAAGCTGCCTCTCCTCCCTAGCAGTGCCAAGATCCTCCAGTGACATCAAGCTTATACTCTTGATGCGTTCTTCAAGAATTTGCTTTAGTTTTTCTTCTTCTTCGCCCAAACTATCACTGTACTGAGCAAACTCAAGAAGGCCCCGAAGTGCAGCTTCTCGTACCACTGAATCTTCACTGGAGGCAAGGTGCATCATAATGCGAGGAAATCCTAGTTCAGTTACTATATTGCAGTCTGAAGGGTTCCCATGTAGGAAGTAATGGATCAAGTCAAGGGCTTTCCTGCAAGATGACTTCATAAGAATTGAATAACAAATAAAACAACAAAACCAATTAATAATAATAATAATAATAATAATAATAATAATAATAATAATAATAATAAAGAAGAAAAGAAAAACAGAGAGGATATGTTTAAAACATAAGCAAGATTTATGAGATGGCAAGAATCAAATTTTGTTTTTTTTTTGGAGGAATCTAATTCATGTAATTTTGTTACTGATCAAGAATATCAACATAATTAATTTATTACCGAGGGATTACCTTTGAATTTTCGCACTTTCAGAACTCAAAGCATCTCTGAGAACAGCATAACCATTTGCAAGACAAAATGCAACAATTCCTGGCTTGTTGTGCCTGATTAAAGCTGAAAGCCACCCATAATTAGGGAAATCCTCAAACCATCAACCAGTATTTGTATGCCAAACAATGCAGGGGCATCCCCAAATAGTACAAAATCATTTATGAACTCACACCTCAAAATATGCATCTAATGACGAAAAGATTATACTCACAAGATATAGCTAAAAGTGCTTTGGCACGAACAGTAACATCAGGATCTGAAGTAAAATTAGAAAGCAGAGGTTCTAAGCCATTTGCTTCCATTACCAGTTGTTGACTCTTAGGATTGTTCTGAACAATTGTGGTCAACTGCAGCCTTTGCTCGAATGTTAGCATTGGAGTTCTTCAGGTAACCAATGAGAGGGACCAAACCACCAATTGAGTGGAGATCTGTCAGATGTGCATAATCAGCCAATGCTCACCATATTAATAGATATACATAAACCCATTGATTCATTGCAACCTAGAGTAACTTTTATTTTACACAAAAGCTTAACAGCACATCTTCTTCAACCTTTTCCGATGGACAATTCACACTTCTGTCCACAAATTAATTTTGAAACTAAATTGCCATCAATCAAACGAATTAAAAATTAGACCCCAGGGAGGACAAAGGTTGGAAGTCATACAATTTGACCACACCCGTTCAAACAAAGTTGAAGGACAATGCCATACATAAAACCGACAATAACAGATGAAAAATAATTAGGAAACCTACAACATCAGCAGTTAAACCATTCTTGAAATCCACAGCGCAAGAATGCCTTCTTGCACATAGAAGAACAGCATAGCAGCAACCTTTTTTTATATGGGTGGAAGTATACCAAAGGAAAATGTGGCATAATTGGATTCATCAACTGCAGTATGCAGCACAAATGATCATGTTACCATGTGATGACATTCTAATGATGTCAAAAATGGAAGAAACTAATTTTAAGATTACAACTATTTAACTAGCTTTTCTTTTTCACAATACTCAGGTATGATAAGCAATACTTATACATACACACACACACAAAAATAGAAAAGAAAAAAAACAGTACGGAAAATAAATCCCACTGAACTTTAGATTCCTCATAGTAAGAAACAAGAAGCATATTTAGCTAAATTTCTGGTTTGCAACAAGGCATTGGAAGTTTAATATGTTATTCTCAGCAACAATGATAGAGAGCTCTAGTGATGTGACAATAGATAATAATAAAAAAAAACAAAAACAAAACATAGGCACACACATCACATCACATGTGGACCCCACTCTTTGCCACATCACTAGAGCTCTCTTTAGAGCTCCAAAATTAGAGCTCTCAAGCTTTATTCTATGCTCAGTGAAGAAGGGTAAACAGAGTGACAATTTATACTGTGTCAACTGTCAACTATCCATGAGCATTATGAACACATCACTACAAAAGCAGCACAAATGAAATTATAATGAAAGATGCAGCAAAGATGTCTCAACAATAGTGAATGACATTATACTAATAAGAACTGTATCAACTGTAAAATGCAAAACAATATCCTGACAATTACTAACACAAATAAGGACTCTCTCTCTCTCTCTCTCTCTCACTCTGAAGTAAAATTAGAAAGCAGAGGTTCTAAGCCATTTGCTTCCATTACCAGTTGTTGACTCTTAGGATTGTTCTGAACAATTGTGGTCAACTGCAGCCTTTGCTCGAATGTTAGCATTGGAGTTCTTCAGGTAACCAATGAGAGGGACCAAACCACCAATTGAGTGGAGATCTGTCAGATGTGCATAATCAGCCAATGCTCACCATATTAATAGATATACATAAACCCATTGATTCATTGCAACCTAGAGTAACTTTTATTTTACACAAAAGCTTAACAGCACATCTTCTTCAACCTTTTCCGATGGACAATTCACACTTCTGTCCACAAATTAATTTTGAAACTAAATTGCCATCAATCAAACGAATTAAAAATTAGACCCCAGGGAGGACAAAGGTTGGAAGTCATACAATTTGACCACACCCGTTCAAACAAAGTTGAAGGACAATGCCATACATAAAACCGACAATAACAGATGAAAAATAATTAGGAAACCTACAACATCAGCAGTTAAACCATTCTTGAAATCCACAGCGCAAGAATGCCTTCTTGCACATAGAAGAACAGCATAGCAGCAACCTTTTTTTATATGGGTGGAAGTATACCAAAGGAAAATGTGGCATAATTGGATTCATCAACTGCAGTATGCAGCACAAATGATCATGTTACCATGTGATGACATTCTAATGATGTCAAAAATGGAAGAAACTAATTTTAAGATTACAACTATTTAACTAGCTTTTCTTTTTCACAATACTCAGGTATGATAAGCAATACTTATACATACACACACACACAAAAATAGAAAAGAAAAAAAACAGTACGGAAAATAAATCCCACTGAACTTTAGATTCCTCATAGTAAGAAACAAGAAGCATATTTAGCTAAATTTCTGGTTTGCAACAAGGCATTGGAAGTTTAATAGGTTGTTTCAAGATTTCAAAGCCAATTGCTTGTTCCATGCTTCTAACATAGAAGAGGCCCAAGTAATTGGTTGTGATCACAATTCACGACACAGAAAGCTTGATTTTCAAAATCCAAGCTTCAACTATATTTTGATTGAAAACTGCCTTTCCTTTTTTGGCGGCTTCATTCACCTTGCATCAATTGTATCCAATCCCATCTGATACCAAATTATACAAAAACCCTTCTAAGTAAAACTCGCATTGAAAACCCAGTTGCAATGGGAGAATGCCCAAAAGCTTATATGCACGTGACCAAGCTCATTTTTAACAGATGTGCGATAATTAGGATTTTAAACATTTCAACAGAAAATGGTTTAGTTCACATACTTTCAAAATGTGTGAACAAAATACAACTTCCAATTGATCCAAAACAGTTGACCCCATACCAAGGGCTTCTAGCCCTACGACGAGACCTCGGATCAACCAATAGGGTGACAGCAAATCGGACTCGAATTAAAAATTACTCACAGAGAACAACAACTCAGAGATAAAAGACCCAACTCTGACTTGTATAGCAAGAATAGAGCAACACATATTATTATTGCACAACCAAATCAAGCAACAGCCAGGGAAATCAATGAGGAATACACGCTATGAAGCCAAATCTTAATACATTAATAGACCTTATCAGTATTTGGATACCTATGTTTGAGTATACATGTATATATAGAGAGAGAACGAAGAGAGAGGAGGAGGAGGAAAAGGGTACCTCAAATTTCGAGGAGGGCGAGTTCCATCGGAGTGAGAAAGGCTCCACTTGAGCAATCCGTCCCAATTGGCTCCTTCTTCTTTTGCCATTATCAGATAATAGAGAAAAAACACAAAAAAGAAGAAAGAAGCCCTAATTTTAATTTCTGCAAACAAGAACAATGAAGAACAACAATGGCGGATAACTGACGTGAAGAATCGAGAAGAGAGTAACGTGACTCACGGTGGTCCGGGTCGGGTTTGGGCCGGGCGAACCTTTTAGTTTGTGTGTGCTCAAGTCTGATCTCGTCCTAACCTTGCTTGCATCTTTATATTTGTTCCGATTTAAAAAATAATTATAAATTTTAAATGAACTTGTCGGATTATATGTTAAAAATATTTTATAATTAAATTTAAATACATATTATATTTTTTTAAATAAATATATTAATATTATTATAAATTAAAAGATTTTGTATAGAAATTAAAAAATTTCTTAAATAAATTCAATCGCGTATCATCATAAATATGAATTTTAATAAAATCCATAAAGAAAAGTTTAGATCTCAATAAAAATTTAATGTATTATGATAATTAATTAATTTAATAGCGGGTCGGGCTAGATTGAATGTATAAATTCCAAACTCAACCCATTAATATTTTGGATTTAAAATATTGGTCCAACTCGACCTTTATGGGCTAAAATAATCTTCTCAAACCCTAAAAAAAATAGTATTAAACTGAGCAGATTAGACGAGTCAACGAGCTGATATTCACCCTTACATGACGGTGAAGTTGGTTAGGGCATCGAATTGGGCTGGGTTTGGTTCAGTCCTAATTGGGCTTTGGCCCATTGATATCACTTGGGCATAGAAGGCTGGGCTGGTACAGAGTACATAATAATAAGGGTAAATTACACTCACCTTTTCTAATGTGAAAAATACAATTAATTATATATTTTTAATATAATTATACTAATATTTTTTTTATAAGGTTAAATCGATTAAAACTAATACATATAGTGAAATAAATAAAAATAAATATATATTTCAGTACAGAAGTGATGACAAATCAAAAAAATAAATAAAAAATCTACGACTAATGCATTATAATGAAAAGAAACTTATTTAAATTAAAACCTCGAGGCTATGTTTGGAGCATAGATTAGGATAGGAATTTAAAAAGAGAAATAGAAAAAATAAATGAAATGTCAATGTAAATGCAGCCTAAGAAATGTCAATGTAATTATTGTAAAAAATATAAAATTACTTATATTTTTACCAAATCTCAAGGGAGTAGTTGTAATTTACCCTAATAATAAAGAATTGTCCATTTGTCCATTCAGTTTTTATTTATTTATTTATTTATTAATTTTTGTTTTTGTTTTTAGGGGAAAAAAACAAAAAAGTATCCATTTTTTTTTAAAAAAAATGAATGTTAATTTATGTAGATTTATATTTTCTGAATTACTATATGGGTGGTTGAGCTTGTCTCATAATCGTCATCTCAATTTGATAGAGCATTTGAGTTTAATAGATCAATTTTGAAATTAATTTTGGTGATTCGAATCGTTCAATTTTAAGACTTATTGAATAAAATATTTATACCAAAAAATAAAATGATCGGATATCGGTAATTATGTATTTGAATCATATTTATTTTAAAAAAATGGTCAACAAATCTTTTTTCTTTTAAAAATAAATATGAATCAAATATATAGTTATTGATATCTAAGTCCCTTATTTTTTGTACGAATATTTTACCCAATAAATTATAAAAAGTAAACGATTTAAATAATCAAAATCAATTTCAAAATAAATCCAAATACTGCCTTAACTTGAGATTAACAAAATAATAATAATAATTAATAGAGTGAATAGCCAAACTTCTACAGATTGTTGTGTACAGAAAATATGAGGGCGCGTGTGGGTCACCACATTCGGAGGCGTTTTTAAACGCCTCCCATTATAAAACGTTGTCGTTTTGTTTAATAGAATATGCAGCGTTTTTAAAACGCCGTTAAATACTAATAACTGTGACGTTTACAGAAACGTCGTTAAAAAAACGCCACCAAATCGCCTTTTTCCTGTAGTGGTTTGAGTATGACTTATTTAATTATTGTTAAATTTTTTATAAAAAAAAATAAAGAGATGATGTGATAATTTATTACAAATAAGTAAATAAAAAAAATTATGGTATAAGGATGTGTACTATATGCACCTTGTAACTATATGATTCAAGCCCTCTTTCAATTAGAGGACTCTCACCATTGGACTTAATCGGTTAAAGGACTAATCGATAATGTAAAATGAGTAAACAAAATAAACAAAGTAAAAGAGGCAAGATAAGCATCTTTGTGTTGTATTGCATGTGTTCGGATCGGACGTTAATCTGAACACGAGAAAAATGGGACGTTTCATACTCAAAGTGATGAAATGAACCCTTTTTCTTGGTCACCATCACCCTTGATCATGCTTGATAGGGTGGTGGTTGTCTTGGTCTTGTTTCCGCATTCATTGACCTTGTACAAGCTTGGTTCTCTAGCCATCATGCATTGAACATGCTTGGTTGGTGGTTTTGGAGCCAAGAATTACATTCCTTTGACCTTGTGTAATGATAAGGAGGTTAATAGTACATATATTGCTTGAGAATACACTGCTTTGCCTCTGTTTACTCTCTGTTGCAGCAAAACGGAGAATTCTAAGGAAGGGGTGGCCGACCAGCCACCAGCAGTGGCCGATCGGCCACCAGTGGTGGCCAACAGCCACCTTTTGTGGTCGACTGGCCATCAATGAAAAGTTTGTTCAGTGTGTTCCTAAGGTGGAGTAGAGGTGCTCTAGAAGTTGGTGCAATTTTTAGAGATCAACGAGTGCAAACAGAGGCATCCAAAGGCAAGGTGGTGGATTTTTTGGAGGAAACCGATCGAGCATGCTTGCGTCCCTCGCCCTCGAGGCCATTCAATTGCTTTAATTTGTTAGCGTAGCTAATTATTCAATTCAAGTTTTGTACTTAATGAGTTTGTGTAACTAGTTCTTCAATTTGTTGTAATTAATTAGCTTAGAATAAGTTAGTTAATTAGTTTCGATTATTATAATAATTAGTTAACTAGAATAGTTAATATTTTGGTTTGTAACAATTAGCTTAGCTTAGTGTAGATTAGCTTATTCATTCGGACCCTCCTTCACGAGGGCACAATGTTGTAATAAGTGTGCGTGTGTGCGTGAATGTCTTCCAACCCCACGTCTTTCTCCTTTTTACTTAACCGCTTTCTATGGTTAGATTAGGGTGATTTTCAATTAGCATACCTTATGCTCGCATGTTTGCATCATTCATTTGCCTTGCAT